GATGCCAAGCTGTCACCTTTCCCGCTACACATGTTGTCAGCTGTAATACGTGTGCGAGCGTGGCATGTGTGCGAGCGTGTGGAACAGCCAAAATAGGTTTAAATGTGGTTAAAATGGTGTAATTTGTTTTTCAAGCCAAATGCAATATTCCTAGCAGACAATACGACTGCTGTGGACTGTCACACAGCGTAAAGCCACACACGGGTTATAACTCTGACACACACACACACACACACACACACACACACACACACACACACACACACAGTCTTTCCACAGTCACACAGACGTACACAGGTCAAAATTACAGCAAACAGGTTGTCTGATTATGTTTCTGGTACACTAAACACAGCCTGGATTTTACACACAAGACTTGGTACCACACAGACACACTACCACACACACTTTTTTTTCCAGGATGGCTGTGTTTATTTGAGTCTATGTCCTGATGGGAAATGTGACTGCTACACAAACAAACGGAACAGCCCAGAACAGACAACTGTGTGTGTGTGTGTGTGTGTGTGTGTAAGAGAGAAAGTGAGGGAGAAGAGTTTGGCGAATATCAGTGTCTATCTTTTTCCAGCGCACACACACACACTCATACACATATGCAAACAGAAAACCTGCACTTCAGTGACTAGAGAAAATAAAGCCCGAGCTTCTTCATCTTTTCCATAAGGGGCTGTGTGTAGTATGCCAACTCTGCTTAGCAGAGCATCTTTGTATATGAGCTCCATTTATAAGGATGCCTGTAAAAAAATAAAAATAAAAAAAAGGTACCTCTGGGCTCAGTCTGCTCTTAAATGTGCTAGAATACTGATGTTTAATGGCTGTTGGAATAGTCGGTCATTATGGTGGCGTGTATTGAAGCATATACAGTATAATAACAGAGCAACGGCTCGGTGCATTTTCACCTAGACTCAGTTCAAGCCAAATTTTCCAGATCAACAAATAAAGGAATGAAGCAACAAAGGTCAAAAATGACCTGACAAGAAAGTGATCATTGTGCGCTTCTGTCTGGATGTTGCAAATGTCAGAGAAAGACGGGTTGAAACCGCAACTACTGAGGAACAACTAATTGTGAAATCAATATTCATGCTCTTATTATGAAAGAATGAACATTGAACACAACATTGGCAGATATTTTTGATTAGGATCCTTTTTCCTTTGGTTATTATCTCTGGCCAGGGTGGTTATGTTTTCACCCCGTGTTCATTTGATTTGTTTTTTGGTTGGATTGTCAGTAGGATTACACAAAAAAACAACTGACTGGATTTCCAAGAAACTTGGTGGACGGATGGGACACGGTCCAGGAAGAAACCCGTTAGATTTTGGCATGGATGCAGATACAGGGGCAGCTCCAGGATTTCTTCATCACTTTCTTTAACATGGCGAGATAGGGCATTAGCCTTTTCATTAGAAAACAAAAGTTAACATTGGCATTGACTTGCACAGCAGGAGACAGACTTCTCCTGGATTGGTAAGTAATCAGCCTTTAATGCTAACATTAGCTATGCAGCCAAGGCAAAAAAAAGTTACATACAGGCAATTTAAAAGAGCATTAAATCCACACGCACAACGTGACAAACAGAGTGAGTGGAGCATGAGATTCATAATTTCCTGTAGCGGATATAATGTGGTTTTTAAATTATCAGCGTGGTAAATAAGTTCAATTCATGCTTTAATTTCCTTACAAACCACATACACTCACTCACACTCGGGTAGAATGCCAATGCAGGCGCATCACACATAATTAAGTACACAAGCAGCAGAAAGCAAACACACAGTCACACAGATGTACACTGAAAAACACAATTAATACGAGGAAAGGAGGAAAATGAGACACCAAAAAATAATAAATACAGTGTGTGCGTGTGAGTACATATGTGTGTCTTTTAAACATAATTAGCTCGGTCGGGCAGAAATGTAAACGAGAGTAACTTTAATGAAACTCTTCTCTGATCTGCTGAAAGCACACATCCCCGTTCATTGCTCTCAGCTCGTCTCCTCTATATTTTCTGTCCGTCTCTCTGCTCAAATGGAATTGAATGTCACGCATGGGACTTTTAAAACCCTGAAGGTTCACATTTCAGCAGTGCATTATGACCACATAAGATGAAGACAATTATATTATGTTTGTAAGGTCAAATCCACAATTTCTTCCTCTTCCCTGCTTGCGTCCATTTATCTGCTCTTCTCCGCTGTCCTTGAGGTGGAGTTCCCTTTGAAAACAATCTGGGATGTATTAGATGATCCAAATTTTGGGGGTTGATTCGCATGTTTGGGTACATTCACATATGTTTGGCTCAGAGGTGGACCCTTCTCAGCCCCGCTTAACTCGAAAAACCACCATTACTCAAAGTCTGTCTCGTTCCATTTATAAACTAAAACGTCAACTGGGCTTTTACTTTAATTCCATCTGTAAACCTCATGCGCTTTCTATCCCTGTCTCATGGAGTCACTCAAACAGCCAGAAAATACAATTTCAGACTGAGAAAATGTCTTCATTGTAATAAATCACTACGAAAACAAAGCCTATAGCAGAGCAGTGTCTCAACAAGGCAGCACTGTGCAGCAATTATACGTAGATCAGGCCTTTCAAAAGAAAATATTCTCTCGCCTGTACGCAGCAAGCAGCCTCCCATAGCAGAATACTAACAACTCAGACTGTGTGTGTGTGTGTGTGTGTGTGTGTGTGGTGTGTGTGTTTGTGTGCGTGTGGTGTGTATCGATTTGTGTGTATCAGGTGAGTTGTCCTTTGTAGAAAAGAACGGAAATGAAAGAAAAAGAATGACGGGAGAGGGAGAGAGACAGATCGATGCAGGGGAGAATAGAAAGTGAGGAAAGAAACAAGTGAGGATGAGGGAAACGCACAAGAAGCAGAACTGCACACACACACTGAAGGAAAAAAAAAACACACGTTAAGACGAAATACGACTCTGTCCATTTGTTTCTACTTTTGTCACTTTCTAATCCTTTGCCTCCTTTTAACTGACCCACTCCCTGCATCCTTCTGTTATCCTCAATCCTCCCTCCATCATGTCTTGCAAACCCCCCCCTTCACTGCTTCTTTCTTGCCATTTACAAAGAGTCAATTTGTATTTTGGGTGGATTCAACCTTTTACAATTCTGAATCTGCCCTGTTGCGTCAAAGGCCACATATAAATTGGACGAAACGCCTGCGTGTCTGTGTGTGTGCATGTGTGTACTTAGCTATTTCTGATGATCCTTTGCATCAGTGTCCCTCCCTGACCCTGCCCAGTGATGAGTCAGTGATGAGTCAGTGATGTGTGCATGTGTGTGTGTGTGTGTGTGTGTGTGTGTGTGTGTGTGTGTGTGTGTGTGTGTGTGTGCGTGGGACCTGTAAGTGTATGCCATAGAAACTGAGAACAAATATTGTTCTGAGAGGAGGGAGAGAAAGACAGCAGCAGAGGCCATATCTTATGAAACAATTAAAGTAATGAGTCATCCTCTCTGATAAATTTGTTAAATTGTTTCTGTTGTGTCTTCCCTCGCTCTCTCCCTCTTTCTTCCTTCACCTTTACACTCTCTCACTGAGCAGTTAAACACCTCAAGGCCCTGAAGGACCCCACAAATGGAAAAATGGACACGGACGACAGATGTGGTTTTTACGCAACACTGGGACATAATTTTAATGACACTAGGTGTCTACATATGCAGATGTCTTTGAATGTGCAAGTCTGCACCGACCCTCCTGGACATTTAAATTAAAAACTGGGGTTTTAAAGACTGTCGTGGTGCCCGATAGTTCACCTGGTTGAGCAGACGGCAAATGTACGGTGCCTCGAGTCCACCTGCAACAGCCACAGGTTCTGTTCCCGCGTCTCTTTCCCCGCTATCTCCCCCTTCCACACTGAAATTGTGTTCTACTAATAAATGCCATAGTGTCCAAAAACTTCTTTGAAAATATGCCTACAAACATGTTTTAATCTCACAACATGAATTGCTGACGTAAAACAGAAATGAAAATCATCTTCAGTATGTTAAGCGGTAACGTTTTTTTTATCTCTATCTGACTCTCCCTATCTTCATCTTAGTTTCCCTCCTCCTCTCTCTCACGCATGAAGTCTCTCTGTCTGTCTCACTCTCTCTCAGACACAAACTGCCCCACCCACGATAATGAGTAAAACTCTAGCTGCTCCACCCTGCCCAGTCTGCCAAGATACTGCCAACACCTCACACACTCACACACATGCACGCACACAGACACACACACGCGCGATGGGCCAACCCACAGCTTGTTCAAAGAAGCCACACACTCAACACACACATTGACATGTGCATGCACACAGACCAAGAACACAACTCTCTCACACTTAATACTGCCACTTACACAGACCTATGTCAGTGCCCTGAGACACACGCACACACGTGCGCACACACATGCGCGCGTGCGCACAAACACACACACAGTCCAGTCTATTCTGATCTAATGTGATCATAGCCAATAAGCTCTGTGGCGCTGGCGAACCGCAGTCTGTTCCCTGCCAGTCCATGAGATCACTGAGAAGTGAAAAGCATTGTGGGCCACAAAGTAGGGTTCGGGAACTGACTGACAGTGGGTAACCATGGGAACTGTCCGTTTGCCTCTCTGTCCCCAAAGCAACGGGCAAGTTTCTTAGTGTTGTGAGTGGGAAAGAAAAATATATGAATGCAACTTATGGGAAAGAGAAATGCGTCATGGAATCATGTACACATGGACAAACGTCCAACTTCTTACTTTCAATATGAAGGAAGGAAATATAGATTTCATTGTAGCTGCTCACTGCATGTGGTCTAATCCTCATGTGTCATTTGAAGGAATCGAAGATGAGGAGTATCAGTAGCGTTAATACTCTGCTACTGCTTCTCTTCTCTTCAGAGCTGAAAGCTCTAATCAGGGAGTAAATGAGACAAAGAAAGACGAATCGTCTGAACAAGAGAATGAAGTGAGAGTGAAACAGAGGGAGGTTGGACGTTGTGCTTGTGTTCCACCTTACCCGTAGCAGGGACTGGGACTCCTCTTTTGAAGCTCCTCCTTTCCCCTCCTGTCCTCCACCTCCTCCTCCTGTATACTGCTGAGGGGGCATCTGGCTCTGCTTCTCCCCTCCACCTGCAGCACCTCCTCCTGGCCGTCCTCCTCCGTACAGCTTGGCGTCTCCCAAAAACGACTTGGTATCTCCCAAAAATGACTTTGTGTCTCCCAGGTAAACCATGCTCGGTGAAGCCACGCCCCGTTTCTGCTGCGAGGCCTCGTGATTGGCTGAAACAAAAGACAATGGGAGGGGGGAGGGGAAAAGAGAGGGGCTCCCGCCTCCTGTTCCTCTTTCTACTCCTCTGTCAGGTCCCATTCGCTCCTTGGGCACCCACAGCAAACCATGGGCCTGCTCACCTCCTCTTTCACCTATTCCTCTCGTCTCCCCAAGGACCCAGCCTTTCTCCCGCTCTCTTTCTTTCTCATCCCCTCCCTCGCTTTTCACCACCCCTCCTGCCTCTTCTCTGCCACCTTCTGCCAACCGACCCTCAGGTGGCGCAAGGGAGTAGAGGAGGCGAAGATCCCCCTTGCTCTCTTCTTTAATGGCTAAGGTGGAGGGAGCTGAGCAGCCATTGGCAGAGAGTGTTAATGAAGGCGTCAGCGAGGTGGGTAAGGAGGTCGTTACAAATGAGCTTAATGAGGGAGAGGAGTCGTGACAGTGGACAGAGTTAAAATGGTCGAGGAGGGCCGATGAATCAGGAGCCGTGAAGTCGCAGCGTCGACAACGGCAACACGCATGGACACGCCTACGGAGAGAAAAAAAAACAAGAGTGAATTATCTACATAAATAATAAATGAATGAATAACTCTTGACGTACAGTAAGAACAGTCACAAACACACAACTGAACATAAGAGACTCGTGTGGCAGGTTTTGTTTCTCTTCAAGGCTTAAGAGTCAATTCATCAGTTTCAATTGTAAAAAGCCTTCATTCCTAATAGCTTTTAATGGGCTGCATTTTTTAAAAGTTTTTTTCATTGATCACATTATGAAGAAAATCCACTCCCTGAATTGACAAAATTTAAAGTGCATTAGTCGCGGCCCGCTCGCTTTCCTCCAACCACTCCGGTACTATTTCACCGAGCCAGTGGCCAAAAAGTGACTCAGTGTTTCGCTGAATCACGATGAATTTAAGAGAAAACCGTGAGGAACGTAAATGAATCTGAATGAAAAGAAATGAATCAAGCATCAACAAACCACCTTCACTTCCTGTAGGCGAAGACCTGAATGAACAGAAATACACACACTGTAAACAGACTGCAGCACCAGGGGTTTTCCAGGCTGAGGAAATGGTATCGGTGCCACTTGTGTAGGTTAATGAGCAAAATCAATTATCAATACCAAGAACATGGACTTGTTACCTTGTTAACTATTGGAAACAGTTTTCTGTTTTCATGTCCGTCGATTCTGCTTTGGAGTCTGACACATCAAATGCTGAAGATTAGGTCTAACCCTTGTATCTGGCTGAACATAACATATTTTAGCATTTCTGCAGGTTTCAACAAGTTAACTTTCATACTTCCTTAACCCTCGAAACACTGCATTGTGGCTCATACTGCAGGGAGAGACAGTAAGTATACATTGTCTAAGTTGAAGACTGTAACTTAAAAGGTGTGATAAAAGAAACTGTTTGCCACCTTTAATTAAGAAAGATCAACGGCCAATGAGGAAAGTCCCAAAACTGACACAAATTCAAGAATACCCTTTGCATTATACTTTCTAAAAATATATTCAACATCTTTATTTGACAGGAAGTCAAAATAAAATAGATGATTAAAAAAAATATATATATTCTGTGGAGATTTGTGTGTGTGCTTTGTCTCCTTCACATTGTGTCTGTTATTGCTGGCCTCCTCCCTCCTCCCTCCTCTCTCTCTCTCCCCCTAAACCCTTCAGTAATTGCTGAGGAAAAGATGTGTCCTGGGCAATGACAGATTCAGGCTGAGGCTCTGAACAGCGTCTCCAGCACATCAAAAAAGGTCTAAGGTCTGTTTGTAGAAATTAGTGAAAACGTCCGTGTGCAAAAGTACACCTTGTACCTTGTGGACTTAAACGTCTACAGATGCTGCACAAAGACACATCAGGCGCTTTTATGTCATTGCTATACACACACTTTACATGCATGTGCACACAGGGAGATAAGTTTAAATTATTCATTCCACATATGTACAGTTACAGCATCTACTCGTGCACAGGAATTAGATTTTTTTCCAATTGTAAATTTGGAATTTTTTAAGGGAATTCAAATTGAGTATTATATTTCTATTCCTAGTATGCAATAATTTAATTATCTATTTGCACACACACACAGACACCTATTTTTAAACCTAGCATTAACACTAAGAACTAAGGTGTAGTGGACAACAATGCCATATGTTCGTAACTTCTAGTTGGTGTTTTGTGTCCGTGTCTAACTGAGAGTGGAAAAGAAACCTGTGAAACTGATTAGTTTTCATTCTGGTATTTTTGTTCCCTTTGTTCTGTGCTTCGTATAATTGCTGCTCAGATTCTGTTTCTTTAAACCTGGCCCTGGAATCATTAATGGGTCGGACGATTTCAGAAGTGCAGTGAAACTTTTTGGCTTTATTCCATTTTAGTTTTATTTCAGTTCCAAGATTCAAAGTTTAGATTATATTAATGATGTTTGTGGTTTGTTATATCCCCTCTACTCTTTCTCCCTCAATCACCTCGTAGCCTTTCTCTGCAATTTCTCTATATTCTCTCTGGTTTTCTTCTTTTCTTCTTTGACTCATATACTTCCCTATCAATTACACTTTTCTTTATTTCCTTTTCTCTCAATCCCTCCTTTACTTTTTACCCTTGAATTCATTTTTATTTTTAAGACCTTAATTAGCAGCAGAAATCGTTGTTCACAAGTTGTGTGTGTTAAATTATGTTGTTGGCACAAATCAATAAGTAATACAGACTGTCAAAAATATTTCACAATCCCATTTGCAAATCTGTGAAGATTCTCTTCATCCAGGCCATTGTATCTTGAGGATTTTTGCATAAGAAACTCAAACACAAGTCCAGTTGTCTATGTGCACATGTAAAGCTCCTTAAGATAAATATCTACAGTTCTCTGTATCTCTGTCTCCTTCAAATGAAACTTTCCCACAGCACCACTCTCACTCTTCCCACCCTAACTCTAACTCACTCTTGGTCTCTTTCATTTGCTGGCTGTGTCACTGAAACCCCAGTGAGCGTGAGCATGTGTGTGTGTGTGTGTGTGTGTGTGTGTGTGTGTGTGTGTGTGTGTGTGTGTGTGTGTTGCTATGTCTCTCTGTGTAGGCAACAAACCTGCTGTGGAGTCTGTTCTGACCTTTACAGGCTTTTAGATCTGTAAAACTGCGCTCATGACTTATTTAAGAAGCAAACATGCAAATTCTGTCACACACTGAAACAACATTTTACTTTTGTGGAGAAAATCTCGGCCTACTGTAAATTGTGGTTCTATGTTGACAGGCTGATTAGCTGAAAACAAAGAATTAATACAAAATACTAGAAGTCGTTAAAATTATAGGGGAACTCCAACAAAGCCTGTTTTCCCAGGTCTCAGGAATACTTTTACATATCTGATAAAAGTTGTATAAGAGGGGGCTGTGCAAAATCAAACTGCATCAGTTGAGGCTGAAAACAAAAAAAGAAATCTGGGTGTGCGGAGTTATCAAGAACTGAGTTATCCATAGTTCTGTTATCTGCTCCTAATCTCTGCTCGGGCCAAGAGGCTCAAAGCTACATTAACTGCTGGTAGTAAAACACACCCAAATCTGGAATTGAGCTGTCAGCAGTTGATTTGCATTGTAGGAAATGTAGGCACTAGGTTTGACATGGATAAATAGTTTAATCGGTGTGTGTGTGTGTGTGTGTGTGTGTTTGTTTTTAATGGACTGTTAGTGAATATGAGGGTGCTCAGTCATCGTTTCCCGGATAACTGAGTGCAAAAAAGAATAGAATTACAGAGGTTTGAATCCCAACCCAAGCAATACTTCTATACACAGTCATTCACTGAGTGGAACATTCACTCGCTCTAACTGGAAAACTGACTCTTTTGATATCACTAATTCACATCTGTGCAGTCACATGATGCCACATTCAGTCGCTCAGTGAACACCTGGCACAAAATCACTGGTTCTCATAAAGAAGATAAACTGAATGTCTTCTGAAAACACACAAACACATTCCATCTATAAACATTTACATTTTCAGCACTATATTGATTAAAACAGAAACATCCTTGTTTCTTTTCAATATCCTGATTTCTACAAATCAACCTTCCAGTAAAAAAACACAATATGCAATCAAATGATCTCTCTCTCACCTGTAGTGTCTAAAAATCTCTTCCTCCACTTCTGTGATGAAGTGACACTTTGTGCAAGAGTGCTCCCTCTCTCCTCCGGCAGCATCCTTGTCGACACCGACTTCTTCCTCGGCCTTGACGTGCGGGGAAGCCCCCTTTAGGTTGATCAGGGTATGGCAGGTTTCGTAGTGCTGCAGCAAGACGTCGATATCGGTGGTGGCGAACGCACACTGGTCACACAAGTGGGTGACGCCTGGGAGCAGAAAATCAGGGGGAAGAAATTAAGAAAGGCCAATGATGATTAACAAATGAACAACAATAAAGGGATAGTTGAAGACAGGAAACATTGGAGTCAGAATGACATTATGTTCCTTGCATGGTGACCTGTGCCTTTAAATACTTTGTGTGACAACAGGTTGGGCAGGGTTAGAGGGGGGAAAGGTGGGAGCAGAAATCACACCTGGGTCAGCTCTAGGATTAGGAGGGGTCATGCTGGGTGAGGAGGAGGTGGCGGCAGGTTTCGGACCAGCTGCATCCTGCTGTTTGGTGGACGGAGAGAACTTGGAACAGCATTTAGGGCAGGCGGGTTTCCGACAGGCAAAGGGGTGGGACACCTATTTAGAAAAATCAGATGTCGTTTTACAGTAAAATACATATAGAGTGAATTATACATAAACACGCTATATTACACTGAAAAAAGAAAATGACTACAGCTGGTAACACAAATAAATAGTTCAAAATAAAAACACGTAATAACTTTGATATGGATTTATTGGGGCCGATGCCCACTTTTTTTCCTGCATTTATTCATGTAAAACTAAAGGTTTTCAGGTAAAAGCTGATTGCAGTATGCCAACTCATATCGGCCAACATTTATATCTGACTGGCTCTGATAATTACGCACAGTGCTGTCTATATGCTTTATCTTTCACCTTGGTGCTGTTATTGACTAAATCGATGCAGGTGATATCAAAAAGTGAACGCCGTGTTCCATTTTTAAGCGCCACGGCACCGTTTGGCAACACGCACAAATATGGTGTGTGCGGACTGGAGTGAGGGAATTTAACAAGGCTGGAAATTGGACCAATTACCTTTACACTTGTTCATATTTTACTTTGTTGTGCTTACAAAAAACCCAGCTCATTTTCTTCTGCCAAGCAAACATTGAACGCTAAGCAAATAAACATTTCAATATTTTATTAATCTCACCTCCCCCAAGTGTTTGTGTGGCTGACAGAGCCCCTGGGGACAGTACATGCAGTGCTGGATGCAGCATCGGTGGATGGAGTGGTTGTGCTGATAGTGCAGCAGCAACGGCGCTACGACGATGACATCTGCACTGTGGGCCATCGAGTACCGGAAATCGCACAACTGACAGTTATAACTGGTCACAACTGCTTCTGGGTCGCTGCTGGTTGGGTCTCCTAAGAGTGGAAAACAGAAGAGGTCTATTAAATAAAACAGTCTGAGTCTTTTAGTCGAGAAAGCACAGACATTTTAAGACGGGTCAACTGTGATGCTCAAGACGAGTAAACAAGGAGGGTCAAGTAGTGTCATGGCGCTCAATATAACATAAAGGAAGGGTTCACAGAGTATGACAGTACTACTAAAAGTGAAAAAGTGGAGGCCAGCAGTGTCTAAAGTCTCAAAGTAGTCGAGCAGCATCATAACAGCAGAAGTAAAAATCGTTAAGACTTGAATTTAATTTTGCTCATTAATCTTGTGCTCCATAAAAACAGCTACCTTCTCCTGAAAATCACTTAAAGCAATTCACCACCGCACTTTCTCCTGTTTTATTACCTTGGCTGGTGCTGGATGGGTTTGATGATGGATCTTTGCGGCTTTTGGACGCCGTGTGGTCTCTCTCGCCTCCTTCTCTCCTCCCTCCTCTCTCCCGCTCTCTGTCCAGCGCCCCAGGAGTAGAGTTGTTGGGGCTCATAGTACCTCCCACGCTCATTCTATGTCTTTGTTCATAGTGCTCCAAGAGCTTCACTGAGCCGCCTGACCACTCACAACTCCAGCTGCAGAATTTACACCAGTAATACGCCTGCACGCCGCCTCGACCCGGCTCCCCTGTCCAGCTTGACGAATCTGAAGACGCCCTAACAGGGATGGAGTACCCGGCCACGGAATCGTCTTCCGCTCTCACCGCCACCCGCTCCGCCCCATCAATGATCGGACTCCTGCCCATCGCCTGGTTGTCATGCTTTGCCACGTTGTTTGTAGCCAGCAGGGGTGTGGTTGGCGGAGTTTTCACTTTGTTTGGATGTGACGACAGGAAGTGTTGTTCAAGTTCTAAGGAATTGCTGCCCATGTACGTGAAGTTGCAGAATTTGCAGCGAAAGTACTTAGTGTTTCCCTGACAATCAGAGGTCTTCCGGCCAATCCCAATTAACGTGCCTCCCAAGGTCACCTGTTGACAAAAAGACAATCAAGTTTTTGTAATCCACGATCCAACATTTTACTTTCACATCAGCTTTAAGTGGAGCTCATTATACAGAACTGTTTAGCATAAATGGATTTATGCCTTCTTTTATAACAAGGTTGATTATAGATGTTTGGGCCTAATCCAATACCAGCAAATAGAATGGGGGTTATTCCCAAATTGTTCTGATAAGGGATTTTTAAAGATGCAGTAAAATGAAGTAGGACTCAAACACAAACACACTCCAGAGATAAACCTACACACTGCAGTTAGATATATTACGTTATTTATCTGTCATTAGCTTCATTCACATATATGTGATGTATATGATTGGGTATCCTGTACAAGGTACGCTTTGTCCATAAAATCTAAAATTAATGTAATAAAGACATTTGATGGAGGTCTCTTATTTTTCTAAACTTCTTAAGCATCAGGTATTTTGAGGATACATCCCATAAGCCTTCAGGAACATACATGCTCTGCTGAGAATTCCCTTCAGCTGCTTTCAGTACTTAAACTAACAGCAAACTTAATCCATCACTTCTTCTGTGTGTAACTGTAGACAATTAAAAGGCTGCTCTAAACCAACATATCAACAGGCTTCACTGTAGAATGCACCGTACGAAGCCAAGATTTCACATTACAGAGCGAGCAACCTGACACTCGTCTGCATTTTTATTAGATTAGCTCCTAGACTGAAATTGATTACAGTGCGCTGCTGGCTGTGTAGGTGAGCAGGCGACCTGGCGAGCATTACAGTGACATGAGACATACTGCTCAACACTATTTCTCACTTTCCACATCTGCGATCTGTTTTCGACGTTTTGCAAAAGTAAAATGCAACTGGTAAACTTCAAATATGAAGGAGCATTTAGCTTTATTGTTACAGTGCAAATATAGATGTATAGATTTAGATTTTAGTCCCAATTCCCAACTTAATTTTGTTTATAAACATGAACGTATTTTATTGCAATAGATGGTGCTGATTCCATTTTCCTCTCTTTTTTTTCTTCGGATTTGATTTTTGGAGAAATATCGCTGAGGTGCTTTTCTTTTTCCCCTCCTTTTTTTTCTTGAAGTTACAGCTCAGTAATTAAACCTCTCAGTCCTTCTTTTAGCATAGAGGACAATGAAAAGGGAAATTTATATTCATTAACGGCTATCGCTCCAGTGCAGATATTCAACTTTGACATGTAAAACAAAACATTTAAAGATACTTAAAAAAAGAGTGTGGGAAGAAATACCCAATAAAAAAGTGGGTTATAAAAAGATAAGGATGGTATATGTTAGCTTCACTAGAAAGAATAAATTCAAAATACTAAATGAAAGCCATTACCACGTGTGATCACGACACAAATCATCCAATCAACGCGACCCCCACAGACCCCTCCCAGGCAATTAGAAAAGGAGCCAAACATCCAAGTCATTTTTACAGAGCAGAATGGGCGGACAGATACAGAGGGGAATATGGGGGGGGGGAGAGAAAGAGAAGAGGTAGAGGGCAAGCAGGACGAGTTGAGGGGGAAAATGTGTTAGATGAGGAAAAGAGGTTGGTGTGGGAAGTAGATGAAATGCAAATTGAGAAGTTGGAGTAAAAGGGAGATTAGAGGAGGAAAGTATGAGCAGGCTGCATAGGAGGAGGTGAAGGAGAGACAAAGACGTATGATGAGAGAGGCGGGTGGAGAACAGAGGCAGAAAAAAAGAAAGTTAAATGTGTCTGACAGCTGTTTCATTACACCGCATAACAGCTGATTAGAACTCCTGCTTTCAAAGCCTCTCTCTGTCTGTCCATCTCTCTCCCTCCCTTCTCTCCTTTCCTCCTCCATCTCTATCTCTCTTTTTTTCTTCTTCACGGTATCCCTCTCCTCCCTAAGTCTTTTCCCCTGCCATCTCATTGGTTGACGGGCCACCTCGTCTCAGCAAATGACAACATGGAATTTTCCAAACGTGGGCGGGAGAGAGAAAAAGCGAGAGAGGGACGGAGAGAATAGAGCCCCCTTTCATTCGTTTTTTTTTTTTTAATACTTTCACTTTTTCTTCATAATGACGACTTAAGCCCACTGGATTTTCTATTTCTGACTCTGTGTGTGTGTGTGTGTGTGTGTGTTTCTGTGTCCATTACGTGACTTACAGCCATTACAGACTGGCAGGTTTAAATGAAATGAAACTCCTCCACTATTCCTCATACACACTCTTTGAAACACACACACACGTACGTTTATTAGATCATCTTGTTTAAAGCTTTCAGACAAAACCCTACTGTTCCTGCACACTTAAAGTACTAATCCTTGACCCAATTGTTACCAAAGCTGGAGTCGTACCGAAGTACTCAAAGACAATTAACTATGGAGGAATAACCACTTAAGAGCTTATTATTTCAACAATATGTCTTAAAAATCACACTCATTCAAGAAAAGAAGTGCAAATATACCCGCAGTATGAAATATTTGAATCTAAACAATATAGGATAGGTATTCTGCTGAGTCATTCATCAGACCTAATTTAGATTCTTGAAAACAATGTGCACACTTCTCCTCAGTATAAAGTAAAGTTGTTGATTAAATAATTGTGTAGCATTCTAAGTCAGCTCATATGAGGCCTAGACAGCTGCAAGGATTTGTTTTATTTGCATTTGATGTGAAAAGACTCTGTATGTAGCATGTGTGTTTAATCAGGAATGACGGGACATGTGTTAACAAGTCAGGGCGGGTCTAGATTTGATTGGGAGATAATTGCGGGTAACGAGATGGAGCTTTTCCAGTGCAGATCGGTGCGGGTTTGCAAAAATGGAGACACTTCCAATTTGCAATATTTTAGCAGCTATTATAAGCTGGGTTTTTTTATCAAATTAAAACCGCACAAAAATTACATGTTACACACACATATATTTGAATGTAAAAATAGGAAGAAGATCTACGCACTGTAAGTTTACACGAGGGAACAAATATATGTGCAAACTGGAAAGAAACAGTTTCAAAGCAAGTACAGCTGCCGGGTGATAAGTTGTGTCTGAGGCTTAAATGTCTTTTATAACAGGAACATATAATACGTCCACGTTGACCAGAGAATGTCTTGATTAAAAAGAAAAGAAAAGTGATTTATTTCCAGTTTATTGGCTGATCGGCTGGATGTCCAGATTATAGGTGCAAATTACATCAGACCTTTCATGTGCTCTGATGTCGTATAAGGTAAAATTGATTTATTGTTAACTACACGTGTAACACTTATCTTGGAGATGGAATTTTAAATCACACCAGTTTCGCCGTAATTCTGTCTTTACCCTGCAATATCTAAAAAAACTGCTCCCAGCAGACACTGGTTCGTGCTGCAGGTTCTGTATTTCACATTGTTTTATTTGAAGTTTTGATATCAATATGAAGTACTGAGAATCAATTTTACAACCTCTAGTCTCAATAGACTGTCATTACAGTATTAAATCTCTTCTCCCACGCTCCTCTCGGGTGCTCGAGCAAGTAAAGGGCGTTTTGGGTTCAGTCCTGTCTCTGAGCTTTTTCTTCTCTGATTGGCTGACTGTTTTCTGAGTGACGCAGAGCAAAGCCAACCACAGGAAATGGATTGTCTGGTCAGTCAGCTCTAAAATGAGCTGAACAGATGGTCAGATCCAGACTAAAATGTTATGGTATTTCAGTATAAATAAACTGGACTCTAATATTATGATAAATTGGCTTCCTGACAGCGACAGTGGTGCAGAATCACTTTCTTGTACCTAGCTCAGCTGTTTGGTGTTGTTAGGAAAGTTGAGAAAAAGTGCAACATATATTTACTCGCCATTGATACACACTAAATGAGTGAGACAGTGCACCTCTACCTGTGTGTCTGTGTGCACCTTTACTGAAGCACACACATACTGATACGTGCCTGTCTGCCAGGGGCTCAACTCGTCTTCCTTTCTGTTTCCATCGGTCTGTTAAGTTTTATAACTTGCAAGACAAAGCCTCACTGTTCAAATCACACACGCCCTCTCTTACAAATCAGCTGCAGATCGTTCAGCTCAATAAATAATTCAGCTCAGTTTTCAAATTTATGACCACATGTTCTGATTGTAGCGGATTGTTAACTAAAGCAATGTGTCACTTGTTTGGATCAAGTCATTTGGATTAATTACTCAAAACTTTTATGACACACTCTCATATTCAGCATTCATGCAGTAATACTCTATTACTGTCTTCTTATTTATGCTGTCCAAAATGAATAAGACCAGAAAGTACTTTGCACTGCCTCCTTCATTCCCAAAACATAAGTTCCCAACACTGAAAGATATGAATCACTGTAAAATGTATGATTCTATCTAAAAGTACAAACACCTGTTGCACAATTTATGACCTCTTTGACTTTCAGGCCTTTTCACCGGAGGTAACAAAACGAGAGCTTTACCGAAGTAGTGAGTTTCTGTCCAACCTCTCAAAAACATTCCTTCAAATAAACTCAACATGGTCTCACCACAAGATTCTTTGTGGAGTTTTATTAATTACAGTTTTGTTTAACTAATTGTGGAACTGGCTCTCCTTCTACATTCTGGTTGTTTTCTTTCAAATGCATGGATTGAGTCAGTTTTTACGAGTTCACACTAACATGTAGAAATGAATAAATTCCCTTATTATACTTCATAAAAAACATACATTGGTTGATGTGTACTTGCTTACCTGTACGTCATATGTGCCATTCATCATAACTGCCCTATGCTGTTGATTGTGTATATCTGGCCTCGTCTTCCCCGACTCTTTGGCTTGGTTCCTCTGCCCTTGTCCTGTCTGTATGTCTGGGAGCAGAAATACAAGTAGAGGTCACAACTTGGGGAAGTAGACAAACAAAAAAAAAATGTGTGTCGAGTTGCTAGAGGCAAAAAAAAAAAAAAGAAAAATCATAGACCAGCTCTGACATCTGGGAAGAGGAAAAACCTTAAGATCAACAAGCAGTGGTAGCATGATGGTAAAACAAACTTTACACAGTGGAAACAGAACATCTTGGGAAAAAAATTATGCAGGGTTGGTTAGTTATAACTGCTATAACTTTCACCTCACTGATGCCGTCAGGTTGAACTGCTCCCTGGGTATGTTTATTCATTGATAATGGGGTAATAAGTGGGCTGATTTTATGTGAGATCATTTTGCTCAGCCGTGTTTTGGTGTTGAAGAATGTGAGCTATACTTAAGTACTCATCTTGTAGCAAACGTCTGCATGTGTCATAATCCCTGTATATTTGTAAAGTGTGATGATTGTATTTCTGTATCATTGTGTGCATCACAGGTTGTGTTTTTGTGTGTGCTGGATGTGTTATGAATCAGGGAAGAACCCATCCTGCAATTCAATACTGCGGAACAGGGCATTTTAAAACATTTTTGTGTGTTTCCAGGAGAATAATTCATGGAGCTTGATAAAAAAAAAAAATTGGGCATGCAATTTAGTGCAGATACAAAAAAAATCTGGATCTAGTGCATTTAAATGTGGTTTCATAAGGGGACTGTTGGGCCTTGGTGGAGGTGTGAGCTCTACTGGGTGCCATTCTTGTTTTTATACATGACATGAGTCAAACAAATAGATTAAGAGAACAGACACGTCACTGTATGTTCCAATGCTTCTATCAGTGGTGATTATTTCATTAACCTGTGATGTGAACTTTACTTTCTACCAATAAGCAGCAATGTTTAATATATGAACTTAAACACAATCTGAGAGCTGCAGTTACCTAGAGGTGTGTGTTGAGGGGCCATGTTGTGGAGGGCCAGGATGTGTGTGTCGAGGGCAGCATCCTGCCGTGTGCGGTTGTGCAGACCCAGGTGATACTTCCTAAAGTGCTTCACCAGGTCAGCGGGGTCGTTGCCATAGTAACCGTAACCGCACACGTTGCACTTGAAGTCCTGGAGCTTGGGAGAGGGGCTGGAGGAGAGCGGAGGGGTGTCGGTTGTCGACTCCTCCCCTCCTTCCTGTCTGGGGAGGAGGTGGGGAGCGGAGAGCAGAAGAGGTGAGACTCGGTCGCTCCTCTCCCTCTCCTCCACGCCCTTCTCCCCGTCTTCGGGCTCCGACTGGCTCTCGGGTCTGTCAGTCAACGGCGCATCGCCTTGTTTGGACCTACCCCCTCCTCCTCCTCCTCCTCCTCTCCTGCCCCCTCTCTCCTCATTAGCGTAGCGATCACCCACTGATGAGGGAGAGACAGATGAGGAAACACACTCACTTTCTCCCTCCTCCTCCTCCTGCTCCTCATCGCCTCTGACCCTCTCGGACGACTCTGGCTCAGAGGGTCGGTTTATCCGTTCGGCCTCTGCTCCCACTCTCCCCTCTTCCTCTCCCTCCTCCTCCTCTTCTCCTGCTGCTGGCCTCCTCCCCTCTTCTTCTTCCTCCTCCTCACCTCCCACACTCCGGATAGGGGGGTTCTTCTTCCTCACCATCTCTAAAAAGCAGAGACAGAAAAGTTGTATTAATGGATTGATGTTTACATGATCTAAAACATTTAAACTCTGGGTTGTGTTACAAGAAGGATGAAAATATTATGCAGATTTTTGTAACCATTAAAATCAGGACATCAACGGATACAAGGAATCTGCAGGACAGAAATAATATACTGGGGATTATGTGCATACAAATACAATTTTCTTACAATGGTGTATGTGTACAGAAAAGCTTTGATTCAATTTACAAACTTCTTTGAACGCTGAAATCTGTGACGATCTTCAACCACAAACCTCGTCAAAAGAAAAACAGGCCCATAAAATCAGAAACATCTTAGCTGTGAGATATTTTTTAAGGCACGTGTGTGTGTGTGTGTTGCGATGTTCGTTGCATACTTAAGTGCAATTCTTCTTTTTTTTTTCCATACCAGGGAGTGAATCTTTTTATCATTATGGAAACCATCCGTGAGAATCTTCAACACATGACCACATCAAAACCCAAACCATATCAGAGAGACTGAGAGGGGTGGTAGACAGAGGGGTGAGGGGGAGAGAGAGAGGAATGGGGAGAGACGAAAGGAGGCGGAGGAGGAGCAGAAGACGGGGAGAATGGCCAACACTCAACCACATCAAACCACACACCCCATATCAGAAAGATGGATGAGGGAGGTGGAAGACTGCAATCCAGCCCCTCCAGCACTCCAAATTTCTCTCTATCTCTCCCTCTTTTGCATCTCTTTCCACAAGCTTTTCGTGGGTTCTCTGCCTCCCAAATTTTCTTTTTCTCATCTCTCAACATCTCTCGTGCCTCATCTGCATCACCTCCTGTCCTTGGTTTCCTCTCTCCTCTGCTTTTCTTTCACATTTCATCTCCCATGTTTCTTTAATCCCCCCGCACAAGTCTCCCTTTTCTCTCCCAAAACCTGTCGTCTCGTCTCTTGTCTTTCCCGCCACCACACTCATTTATTATCAGTGTAAAAATACTTCTAACAATACAAAAAAATGGCACTTATCAGGGCCTTTACCTTGTATTTCAGGGATTTTTTATTCTTCATCGCCCACTTTCACATGCAAGAATAATTGCTGCAATAATTTAAGTAATTCCATCATTAATTTTTTTTCTTTCTGTCCCTGCCCTCTCCCTCCCTTTGTCGTCCCACCATCCCTCCCGTGCCTCCCTTATAATCACTATACAGAGCCATCAAATAACCAAGCATATGTTTTAAGTTAAGCCATAATCTTTCTTTTGTTTGAAAAGAGAACAATTGTGGTCGCTCTGTTCACAACAGTCGTGACAGGGAGATATTGCGTGAGTGTTTTTGCAAGTGTGTGTGCGTGATTTTTTGCGTGTGTGTGCGCGTGCCAGCGTGTGTTTATTTGTGGTCGTTCAGTTCATATTCAGCCGTAAACAAAGTCAACCCATTGACCCATACGCTGCGTTTGTGTGTGTGTCTTCAGTCATAAACAGTCACACACAAAGGACGCCCGATAGACGCCAAATTCTGATCACTTTTAGATCAATGCAATATGACGGGAAAGACACTGTGTGTGTGGGTGTGTAGTGCACGTCTGATGATGCATGTGGATGAGAGATAGCATGTGTGTCGCCTAGTCTGTTAGTCTAAGAATGAGATATGAAACTTAATCATGACTGATTTAACTGTGACACACACACACACACACACACACACACACACACTTCTAAAGAAAGTAAAAGGGATTTTAGCTGAAAACAAAATAATCAAATGACCGTAAACACAGAGATCCACATAAACAGACCAGGACCATATTTTAACAAACCCTGTAATATAATCTAGAGGATTAGGAAGAAAAGAAAAATGAAAACAGGAAAAAGGAGGGAGAAATGACCAGAGAGAGAGCGAGAGAGAGAGAGAGAGACCCACTCTCTTTCTTTCTTCAATCCAATTTTCTAGTGTTTTACCCTTTTTTTCTCTCTCCCTCTTTTCTCTCTACCATACAACTATTAAAATAAAGCAATTTATGTCTGCAAGGGCCCACGCCCAGAACCTGGCACCCTCTGTGTGTGTGTGTGTGTGTGTGTGTGTGTGTGTGTGTGTGTGTGTGTGTGTGTGTGTGTGTGTGTGTGTGTGTATGTACTTATACAAATGTCTTTGAGAGGACAGTTTTGAGCCTACAACCTACAGAGTGGGGACATTTTGGCCAGACTTCACTTTCCGACCCACTTATACTGGGCTGTTTGAGGGTTAACACTCGGTTTTAGGGTTAGAACTAGTTTTAGAGCAGGGTTAAACATTTAGTTTTGATGATCAAGGTTAGGGCAAGGGGCTAGGGAATGCATTATGCCAATCAGTGTCCTCACGAAAGATAGAAGTACAACCGTGTGTGTGTGTGAGAGAGAGAGAGAGAGAGAGAGAGAGAGAGAGAGAGAGAGAGAGAGAACGAGAGAGAGAGGGCAAGAGAGAGTGAAAGAGTGAGGGTGCGCAGAGAGCAGAGGAAAATCTCATCTGATGTTCACCACACCCAGTCAGAATTCATCATTCACTTACACACATATATACGCATGCACAGACACACACACACACACACACACACACAGTGGAAAACTACAGATCGTTGTGGTAAAGCAATGAAGCTGTGATCCCAACCTAAGAAGCACTGCCTGACCCGACTGAGTTTCCATCTGCCCTGTATGAGGCAGCTTAGAAAGTTGATCAAGATGATAGGAACAAATGATGAATGACTTGGATTGAAGTACTATAAAATCAATAGAATAGTTATCATCAAGAGCAGCAATTCAATCTATTATGTATTTTAAATGGCATTTCTTTTTCTTTTACATACGTCAGACACACTTGCATGCTGCAGGATGTGGGCAAGAAAAATATAGGTATGTGTTTCGAGGCTGTACTGTGTGCGTCTGTGTCTCAGTGTGTGTGTCTCGGTGTCGCAGCCCAGCCTTTGTCTGCTTCAGGCTGTATACACAGACTGGAACCATTACTATCAGCTACAATTAGGTACAACCCACCACAACATACCGCATAACAACTACTGCTACTAGCTACAATTAGCCCCTATACACCACAAAGGCCTCAAAACTACAGCGAGGATAAACGCGACAGTTAATCACTCCCATCAACTGCAATTAGCCCCAACGCCAGTGAAGCTTTTATCTGAAATTGTCAATTATCACCCAAAGACAACTGCTGAAGGATGGACCGGGAGGAGATGGTAAGTTTCTGCAGTATGTGGCAGATAACAGGCATAGGCTTTTATCACAGAGGCATTGTGAATCCATGATTCATTATCACATGGAGTTTTGCTTATTAATAAAATCTGACCGCAGTGCAAATATTTTGGGGATTAGACAATCAAGTTATCATTCAGTCTAAAATCTGAAAAGATAAATAAACTTTAGAGTGACATCTTCAAATTGCCTGTCGGCTGTGTCTCCTACTGGATGATTTGGTCGTCCACTAATGAGAAGGTCAGGGGTTTCACTCCTGCAGTCCGCATGTGGAAGTGCCCTTGGGCAGGACATCAGCTCCTGGTGGTGGCCCTGTACTTTGCCAGCATTGTGAGAATGTGATGTGTGAGTGACAGATAATATGCTAAGTATACCAAGCTGTTTATCAATGTGTGAGAATGGTTGAATTTGATGTGTTTTGTAAAGCATGTAATGAAATGACTATATAAATGCTGTCGCTTTGTCATGCTTTTATAAGGGTCTTGATGAACTGTTTCTGTCTTAAATGAACATCATCTAACTCAGACTAAACCACATGATGTGTATGGGATCATCAACACCACATGAAAAAAAGCTCAAAGTATGTTTTTATGATTCAGAGATCACTGATTAGTTTCTCACTAACAGAGAAACCTACTCAACTATTTTACCCACTGTATTATTATTAAGTCACTGTGATGGATGTGTTTGATGCCGATACCGAAACACATATTTCTGCCGGCTTCAGATATCTGTGCTCCCCACCCCGTGGGACAGCTGCAGTTGGCATCTCCAGCTTTCATAAACAAAGGATTAATGTGCAACATATGAAGAAATAATGCTAAGGGCAAGGTCTTGTTACACAGACATTTCTCTGTAGCTTGTTTTTTTTTTCTGTCTTTCGATCTGCGTCATTATGTCTTTTCATATTATCCTTGTAGTCTTTGTCCCTAGATTTCATGCTCTTCATCATCTGTCCTTACTTTTTCGTTTGTTGCTATCCTTCTGTCTCTGATTCTCTGCATCGAGTTTAGAACAGTTTAGGAAGATTTATCATGAGGGGCAGGGTCCAAATATTAACTTTTTAGTGTATCTGCCAATGGCTGGTGAACTGAAAGAAATCACAGGCCAAAATACTTTTCGTGAGTCAGAGTCTGGATCCCGAGGTTTGCTGTGGGGGCAATGTGACCACGGGAGAGATTAGGGGAGTACTAAATCATGGACTAATTAAATCAAAATATCTTAATTAATATACTTTACTCAAAAATTTTGTATTTGAAACTTAACATTTGAAGGAAAGGAAAACCAAGGCTTGAATCCTGAAAAATTGGGTCAATCTGGAACCCATTCAGACTTCTTTTGTTTGAAATTTTTGGGTAATCTCATCTTCCTCTTTCCTTTCCTCTCCAACTCTACTCACATCCTCTATTCCTTCACATCTGTCCATCCCTGATCAGACCTTCCAGCTGTAATTCATGTTCCCTTGTTATGGAGGTAAACGTAGATGGACAAATGTGCGAAGCCCGTATTCAGAGTCAAATATTAAATGCGTAGATAAGCTCAGATGTAGGTTCCTGACCAGAGCCCTTCGGAATCAGATGGAACCCGACCTACAGAAAAGTTTTGACATGATATCCTGGTTCAGTCACATTCACTGGTCTACCAACTTTATTGTCTACATTACACATCAATAAACAGGGTATCGGGTACAGGTTATCATGGTGCAGCTTGCATTACCTGCATCGGTTTGAAAAAAAATGAATGATGCTTGTTGGTTTACCCTCTGCCGCACTCTAA